GGGCGCCCCGCCGGGCGGCCCCGCCGGCCCCCGCCGCGCTCCGGGCAGGGGGAGCGGGCCCTGGGCGACCGGAGCGCCGGCCCTGGGCGCCGTGTCGGGGGGCTTGGCACCGTCGCGTTGGTTCCCTGAGCCTGCCGCCGACCTGCCCGGGAGCCTTCCCGCCGCCCTCGAGAAGGCGGAGGCGCCGCGGGGCGCATCGCCGCCGCCCCCCTCTGCCGCTTCGGGCGCCGGCTGAGGAAACGCGCAAAAAGGAGCGACTCGGCTTCGGGCCGCGGTGGCACCGCGTACGGCTCAGAGGAGGCCCCGGCCAAGCGGGAGGCGGCGGGGTCGTCCTCCCGCCGGAGGGGAACCGGCCCTCGGTGGGGCGTGCGGCGCTTCGTCCTGGCTGAGGATTGCTTGCTGAAGTGCATGCGTTTCCTGTCATAGCTGAAATCAGATGCTGTCTTCCTTAAGGTTTTTATGAAAATAGGTAGCCAGGCAGAGAGACCTCCTTAGTGTCCTCAGCGACGGAAAGACCACAAGGTGAATGCAGCCGTATTAGAGACTAAAGTATTTGTGAAGAAAAACATTGGAACCCCTTCTTCTTTATTTCTAGTTTTTAAAAACTGCTTGAATTGAAATGGCAAAATTATATGAAGAATGTCGCATATAGAGAATCGCTGTGTCCATGTTGATATAAGGACGCAGGTGAACAAAGGAAGATTTGAAGCTAGAAGAGATGTCTTTGATTAGACCGACTACTATGGTTTGGCCTAATAAAAAAGGCAAACTTTAGAATATGAGAATTATCTTAAAACTGAATTATCTGAGAATGTAAAGCCACCATTCTAAAAGTAATACAGTTACTTATTATGATCATTTAGTTTTAATGATAAATATCTTTAAAACAGTTTTTATGACAGCGGTATAAATACCTAACAAAATCTAATTCTGTGAAATGGTGCATTTTAATATTGTTTATAGGTGAACCCTAGTTTTTATGACTAATCATAGCTTATTTTTAATTTCAAAGGCAGCAATTAAAAACTAAAATTAAATTGGAGCTCTTTTGAACTTGTAAACCTTATTACTGTTTATATTTTACATTTTTGAAGATACATATAAAACCACAGAGTTAATATTTGGCATGTTAAATGTTTCACAGAAAAATGATGCAAAATGTGCATCTGGCTCCTGAGGCTGATGAAGATGATCTTTATTCTGGCTACAATGATTATAATCCCACATTTGACACAGAGGTAAAAATATTTGCTGTTTCCCACACATAGGTTTTTAACTTCTAAGTACAAGATAAGAACATGTGGGTACTGTAATGCACAAGTGCACACTGCTTTGAAGTGAAATTTTCTTTATTTAGCAGGAAATACATCAAGTTTCACCAGGATCTTTTTGAATACTTATTTTGTTGATAGTTTTCCAACAAAATACTTGTGTGCATCTCACAGCAGATCTAGTATGCCTTAATGGTTAGAATTTATGAAGTATAAAATCGTAGTTATTTGAAGGCCATAATTCACATTCAGGCACATTCAATGTGTTGTTTCTCAGACAGTGTGCAGCAGCAAGCTTTCTGACGAAAGAGGCTACTTATTGGTCAATAGGTCATTGATCTGTTGCTGTGCTGCAGCTGAAGGAGATAACAGTAGAGTGAAGACCTGCAGGTCTCTGTGCAATAGGTAGAGTGTCTGGGATGACTTACAGTAACCCTACAGACCACTTTCTGGTAACTGCTGGGGTAGTGAAATTGGAACAACAGGGTGGTTATTTGGTCCAAACCCACTACCCTGGCATCTTGTGTGAAATTCCAGTGCCAAATTCATGGGAGTTGCAGTGTGACCTGAGAGACATGAGATATCTTAATGTATTGGCATGACAGGCATTAATGTTAAAATTTAGAAACAGTGCTAGTAGTAAGCTTTTGGAGGGAAATAAAATGTCATGTATTATTTTATCACTTAAGCTCTGCTTCCTCAGTGTGTTTTTATTTTTCAGAGAATAATGACTTTTTACATTTCCTAATCTAAAATACCAAAAAAGATAGACCAAATAATATAATAATTATTTATTGTCAGTAAAACCTGTCATTCGGTTATCTTCAAGTCAAGTATTTTTGGAAGAAGAATTGTTTTTCCACCTATCTGCTTTCAGTAGTGATAAGGTTCTGAAATTGTGGCTTTGGGTGTTATGGTTTTAAAAGGGTTGATATTTTTATTTTATCTTTTCTAGGATTTAGAAAATGATGTAGCTTTTCAACAGGCAGCAAGAACAAGTCATGGTAGAAGACCCACTGTAAGTACCTTTTAAAATACATTGCAATAGTGTAGACCTTCTCTAGAGCCCTAGCTGTGATTTTGGCACTGGTACAAACTTATCTTGGGCATCTCTTATCTTTTTTTTTGTGTACTACTAACATGAAGATACAGACTTCAGTTATTTATATGAAAAATAAGTAAAAAATTAGCAGAGCACAAGTTCCCTTAAGTTCTGGAGCTAAGCTAGAGCAAACAAGGAACTTCGGTTGGAAATGGGTATTCTTGTTTGATAAAATGAGATAAAACCTTGATAAGAGAAAAATGATACATTCTGAAAGGACTTTGTTTAATATTCTATTCATAGAATTACTGGCTCTGACATACAGTTACAAGGTTGAGATACATACTAGACAGTGGGATTTAGAAAACTGTGTGTTATTGTTCTGATCATTTTTTTTCCTCCATGTTCATGTGATTTACATTAATTTTCTTACTTTCATTTAGCTGTGACTTAATCTTATATCAGCTTTCAAAGCTAAATATAAAGTTGGCACCTGTACTTCAGAAGTACGTACTGTATGTCTAAAGAAGAGCTGAAACTGTCTGATTAATGTTATTTCTTTGCCAGAATAATCTGGTTCTACAATGAGAATTCTTTCTATAACAATTGAAGCATTATTTCTATGAATTCACTATAGAAACTATATGGAAAGACTAATAATTAACACATATGGTTGTTAATTGGTGGGGTGGGGTTTTTTTTTGTTTTTTCACCCAGGTGACAGACAAAATTCCTGGTACATCAGCTTCAAGAACTTTAGTTACTGGATTTGGGGTAGGTTTTTGTTCTGTTGTATTCTTAATGAAAATGAGGTATTTACCAAAAAATAAATTTACCATTTAATCCCTTGCACAGAGTGATCTCTTTTTATGTAAGTATTTCCTTCCAGTGAACTACATCTATTCGTTAATTTTAATTAATTCACAACTCCACACTTGGTCAAGGCATGGCTACTGATTTTTTTTTCTTTTTTTCAATTTTTCTCCCAAACCATGCTGCAAATTGACTTCTGTACTGCACAAGGCAGTAGATTCCAAGGTATTAACCTGATTTTCTTGCAGGGGGAACTGGATGGGTTGTTATTTGGGCTTGGGAAAGTTTTCTGAAAATTAAGGTGAAATTAAGTCTTAAAAAATATGGGCTTTTGAATGGCCTCTAGTTTAATCAGAAAAAGTTGGTTATATTCTTTGGTATACTTAACCCATTGTAACTCTTAAATAACGAACACTTTAACCTGTTTTGCTATGGAAACAGAAGTTATGCACTAGTGATATATCCACTGTCCCCTTATCCCAATAAATTTTCAACCTGTTAGCCTGTCTCAGTCAAATTTGAAAAGACAGTGCTCTTAGATATAACATTACTGTAAGTTTTATGACACATAAAGAAGGGAGATTACATTGCTTTAGATCTCTTATGCAAGTTAGCTGGGTAACAATTTCAAGAACACCTAAATTCTATTATAAGTCAATGAAATACAACTTTACTCTGTACCTTCTGTTACCTGCTCTGGATATATTCCTTTTGAGACTGCGTTGTATTTCCAGATGTTTAGTGTAGTACCACGCTATGACAGGTAAAGCTATGTTGTTAAAGGAGTGCACGAAAAGGCACTTCTTAAGGATACTGAAGACTGAGGTGTGTACCTGCATTAGTAGAGCTAGAGACCATCAAAGCATTTTCCAGCCCACAGTACTACCTGTTTCACTCTGCAGATTTGCTTCTCCTACACTACAGTCCTTGTTAATGTAGATGCAGCCTTAGCAGAAGAAACAAAAAACAGTCGTGATGTGTGATGGATAGTGGGTAAAATAGTAAAACAGAGGCCTCTGAGTGGGAATTAGGGGAACACTTTTTCATGGCCTGAAGCCCTTTATTTTTGCCTGTTTGTATTGTATATTTGTAGCAACCTTTAGCACTTACTACTGACTATTTCACATTTATTTCTTTACATTTTTAACACTACTACAGAAGGACAGTATGCGGCATGTCAGCTAATGGAAAAGATATCCATTGGCAGTTTCAAAGTGTATCTGTATTTATTATAAAATAAATCTTGAAGAAAGTATGACTTAAAATCTGCCCTTATATTAATCTCTTATCAGCTGTACTCAGAATCTTAGTGAAGTATTTTTTGTAAATTACTTGTTCAATTTAAAGGTAGTAATTTCAGTTATTTAATAATGGAAAGTACCGCTGCCTCAGATGAATTTCTGTACAATTTTTTTTAAAAGGTCTGACAGAAATATCCAAATACATAAAAAACAATATTGTGAATTTATGCTAACTGAAGTGTTCAACATCTTTAAGTCTGCCAGGCACTGGCAGTAGATTGCATATGAATAACATAAACGGGAATTTTGCTATGACCTTATGTGAGAGTTACATCGACTCTTAAAACTCAGTGTTAAGAAGACTACATAGCCTTTACAGGCTTCTAATGCTTTGTGGATGCTAGTTTCAAACAATTTACTTATTTTTGTAGTCAAAGGCAACTTTAACTTCATCTATGGGAAGACCAATGACAGGAGCTATACAGGTAAAAGTTTCAATATTTACATTTTATATTGATTTGGAACACTGAAGTTTTCTGGTGTTTGGTTTTGATACAAGTATTTAAAAGTTCATTGAAATAATACAAATTATTACTGTTTTAATTTGTCCTTTTTTGAAAAGACTACTGTCAGAAAGCCTGAGGGTTGTGATGAGTATTTTATTTGAGCACAGGGTTGGAAGCAATACCAGTGTAATGCTTTTTAACACTTACTGATGTGCAATGAATAATTTTTCATTGAAATAGGAGAAAGGTAGATTCTGGTTTTCATGTTTTTCTTATGTACTTATACTCTAACAAGAATCTGCTGCAATTTTCCACTTTCCCACTGCCACCCTTAAGTATATTGACTTAATGTTAAATGTATCTATAGCCACTGTATTCTTTTGCATCAGGCCAGGTGGGAAACAGGAATTATCAGGGAGCATCAAAAGTAGGGCTACTCCCTAAGGGAAGGCAAGCCAGGACTCTAGAGGGAAATTGCATGGCCAGCAGTGCAGGGGCCTCACCAGCCAGGACCCAGTCCCACAACACCTGAGCGAGGCAAGTAGCGTCCACCCAGAAACGGTGGCCATGTCCAACCAAAAGTCCAGAACAATATCGTGGCAATGAGGCAGGTCCAAGGTCAAGCCAAAAAGTCAGTGCATAAGCCAGGGTTAGGACCAGTGATCACTGGCCAGGTCCATAGTGACAAGGCAAGGCTAAGGGCAATCCAGGAGGTCAGTCCACAGGTTGAAATCTGGACCAAGGGATTTTGTGGCAAGGCATAGCTGTGTCTGACGTGGAAACCAGTAGTCCTCCAACAAAGCCCAGGCAGGGGCTGAGGGACCAGGGCTGAGCTTCAATAAAGCTCCTGGATCCATGGGTAGGGTGTGTGGCTGCAGACCCCAGTTGAGTCTGGTCAGGGCCATTAAGGTTTATTAGTGCACTTAGTGTCCTGACAGGAAAGTTTAATAAGCTGGCTGGGGTCAAGACATTCTTGTGTTGGGAGGCATCATCTGGTAATAAGTTACAAATACAAAAGAATTGTAGTTTGTTTGTGCCTCCCTTGGTTTAGATCAAGCAAAATATTCTGATCCGTAATCCCATAGGATTCTCTTTATTGTCAAGAAAAATTAAAAAAGCAACTGAGTTCTGAAACAGTGTGACAGAAAGCTAGAGTACGTTACAGATCTCAAGACGAACAATTATTGAGAATTTTCTAAAAATAAAAGATGTTTGAAATTAAGTATTCTGAATACATATACACAAAGTAGTAAGTGTTCCTTTGTGTCAGTTACAGTTTCCCAATAGTGTTTGCTCCTCTACTCTGTAGACAGTTATGATGTATAGTATTTGAGAAATAAAAACATTTTAAAAAATAATTGAGTTTACTGAGGTGGTAACAACTGATTTTTGTATTTAAAGGTTTCGTAATATGTAACTGATGTCCATACTGTCCATAGTCTTTTTTTAGGAACATTATTTTAATATGTCTTCTTTTTTATTTAAGGATGGGGTTGCTCGACCAATGACAGCAGTGCATGCTGCAGGTTACACTAAGGCAGCTATGAGAGGTACAGTTTGTAGAAATCACCAGCTGCCAGAGGGAGATGTTATTTTACAATTTTCAGTACTCTGTTAATTTTGCAGGTTCTTCATTTGATCCTCTTGGCCAAGCAAGAGGTCCTGCTCCACCTCTGGAAATGAAAAATTCAGACAGGTTTGTTCAGTTTTGCATTAAATTATTTCAAAGCATTAACAGCAACAAAAGAACAACCATGGGTAAAGTTTAAAAGCAATGAGGCAGTTACAAAACCTTGAGGGGCCAAACTCTTAACTTTGTGGAATAATGCCACAAACATTTATGCATATGGTTAGCTGATTCGCCAGAGCAGTTGCACTGACTTCCAGGAACGTCTGCTTTCAGTGATTTCTGGTTCTGACTGTAGCTCAGCAGCCTGGACGTAGTTGTTGCCACACAAATGCTGTGATACTTACATAGAATTGTGGAGGATTACGGAAGAGTGTGTGACAGGCAAGGAACACCATGATTCATGCAGCTCTCTGGAAAGAACTTGAGGGAATTTGCCTGGTGTTTCTCCCTGTTCACTCTGACCTTAGCATTTGAGGTAAAACTGAAGTTGTGAAAGTTTTGCAGTCTGGTGTGAATGTTGGGGAGTTCACTCAGAACAAGTCATTGAGCTTTTCAATACAAAAGTTGTATTCCTCAAATATAGCCATGGAGGAATAGGGAATCCTACTGAAACATTTGATTATTTAACGGAGGAAAAAATCTAGATGGATAACAACTTTTTATTAAAATCTGCATTTGTAAGCTATACTTTGAAGTTATCTATGCAAATAAAGGTTCAATTAATTGCTCTTAATACAATATTTCATTTCACTAGGTGTTTGATTTGAAAGTTATAGCAGCCCATCTGTTTGTTCTGTCATTACTTCTCCTGAACAAATTGAGCCCATGAAATTTGCACATCTGTCTTGTTCTTGGAAGAGGATTTATGTTTTCTTAGGTCTCTGTTCTCAAATTAGAAGTGTGAATGTGTTATCTTTGGAGGATCTTCTCTGGGCATAGTTTCACATTATATTTTCTTTGATGGGAAAACCATTTAGTTGTGACGTGATACATCGCTGTGTTGTTTATTGAAAATATCCTGTATAAAAGCTTAGTGTTTGCAGCTATGTTACTAGTGTTAATCCTTTTACTGTTTATTTTAGTTCAGAAGAGAAGATTAGGCAGTTGGAAAAAAAAGTGAATGAACTGGTTGAAGAAAGCTGCATTGCCAACAGCTGTGGAGACTTGAAATTGGTAATTTTATGGATTTCACTTCACTTTTGCTTTTATGTGAAGAACAATTTGTATAGATAGATGTTTCAGACTGCCTTGGGTTCAAACATTTCAAATTATTAAAATCATCTTAATTCTAACTTTGTTATGACTCTTCTAATCCAGTGATACCTTGTATTGCCAAAAAAAAAAAAAGTAGAAGCTGTATTTCTTGTGTATATATTTGTTAAGATTTCAGTGTTACAAAAAATCCCTTCCCCGTATCTCCATTGGCCTCTTCAAATAGGTCTGATCAATTAGTCACACTGGCACCGATTTGCCCAGTCTAAGCTACGGACTCTGTGGAAGTGAGTGACCCTTCTTCGATACCAGGCTTGTAATTGGCATCTTTGCAGCATTTGATCCTCAGATGTGTAAGGATCTTGTACGAGTGACATGCCGTTTCCTTGATGTTGCTTGGGCTTTTTGGATAATGTAATTTTCATCCAGGACTGGTGCTCAGCACCAGGATCAATCTCACTTAAGCCACCTCCACAGCACCCTTCCATGTCAGGGGCTGTTTGGTCCTATAGCATATGGTAGACACGATATTGCTTTTGTTGCACCATAAGGGGTCAGCATCAAGATGAACTATTTCATCTTCTTTCAGACCTTCAGACAAGGGGACCTTCCAAGCTAAGCAAACCTGAAAGTGCAAACACGAGTATCCTTCATTGATGATCTGGATGAGGGCATTGAGTGCACCCTCAGTAAGTTTGCAGAAGACACCAAATTGGGTGGAAGTGTCAATCTGCTGGAGGGTAGGAAGGCCCTACAGAGGGACCTGGACAGGCTGGATCGATGGGCTGGGGCCAACTGCATGAGATTCAACAAGGCTCAGTGCCGGGTCCTGCACTTGGGTCACAACAATCCCATGCAATGCTACAGGCTGGGGGAGGAGTGGCTGGAGAGCTGCCTGGCGGAAAAGGACCTGGGGGTGTTGGTTG